ACTTCAGGGGATTCTGATGTTATCAGTCCATGAAATGGATGTTATTAGGCGTTTTCAGTCCCATACAATGGCTTCAGAGGGTCCCTACTGTGCCTTCTAGGCTTCAGACTGTGCCGACAGTGCCCCCTAGTGGGTTAATATATCAATGACAATGAATGCGTAAATAACCAAAACATATTTTGATAAATTTTGTGTCCTGTCCATGTCAGTCTTGGGCCCTGGTCTCCCGCTCTCTGGTATGACGCTCTACCCATTGCTCTATTGGAAGGCCACAATATACAACCGTTGGAGGGCGGTGTCTTTAGCACTAACCATGTCATTTGCTCAAGTTAACCTTAGTGGCTTTATGCCTCATATTAACCAGATAGTGGTTTTATGCCTCATATCAACCAGATAGTGGTTTTATGCCTCATATTAACCAGATAGTGGCTTTATGCCTCATATTAACCAGATAGTGGCTTTATGCCTCATATTAACCAGATAGTGGCTTTATGCCTCATATTAACCAGATAGTGGTTTTATGCCTCATATTAACCAGATAGTGGCTTTATGCCTCATATTAACCAGATAGTGGTTTTATGCCTCATTTTAACCAGTTAGTGGTTTTATGCCTCATACTTACCAGCTGACAATCAGAACCCTTTCTATGGGACAGGGAACCTGCTAACTGGCACAGGCGGAACATTCTGAAGCCATTCTATGGGACTGATAACGCCTAATAATGTCCATTTCATGGATGATAACAGTCGAAGCAGGTGCCTACTTCCTGTGCAATATCAACTTTCTGCAGGAAGTTCCACACGTTGTAATCTTTAGGATTTTTTTCTTTGCAGTTCAACATGGAAACAGCTTACGTTGTGCTTTACAACTGAACATATGACTGAATGTTAGCTCAGCTGGGATATTGTTGTTGTTCGTGTTCTTTTTTTAAAGCTTATATTCTCTGACTCAACATGCAAAATCTATTTTTGAAGTGGTTTGACTAAAATGCCAGTGGATCCTTTCCAGAATAGTACAAAGAACTGCACTGAGTATTTTACTGTGCAGCAGAGCTTCCAGTGCTATCTGCTGCAAAACTGCGAAATCTCCTCCCCTCTGCTGCTCTGCTGGCTCCTTTCATCATCTGTGTTTGTGCATAAACTCTAAAAAAGAAGCATAACAACCGTATTTAAATGAAGTAAACTGGCAATCTTGTACATTATCTGCTTCAAACAAAAAGAGAAAAACAGCATGTAAAACAATGCGCAGCAGCCCGTTTCCCTCAAACCCAGAGGAAAACTTGGCAAAAAAGCGTGGTGAGTGTTCTTGCACACAATAAAGTGCAGAATTTCTATCCTTGTTAAACATTTTTGCAAAGCTAATGTTTACTAAAGCCACAGCTCTGTCTCACTTTTTATTCACTAAATTTGAGCTTGTGGTCACTTTAGCTTTGTGCTTCATAAATCACTTCATACCCTCAAGGGTGAATTTTTATTTGCCCAGACTGTGTCATAAAATGTAAAATCTACATTAACTATAAACCCCCTCAAGCCTTAAGGTAATGTTAGCCCCTTTGTTCATTTTTAAATCTCGGAGACATAAAAATACAGAAGAATAATATGAAGAATTTAATAACTAATATATTTTTAAACTGATTTAATTATTGCAACAAGGCTCTTAACACAAAGAAATAAGTAGAGTATTGAATGTTTTTATAATAAT